TCTTATTTCAGCAGCTGGAGTATGAATCCTTTGAATAGGGTTTCCAGATTTAACAAGTTAACATGCAAGATGCCCAGTTAAATTTGAATTTCAAATAAATGCTTTTTTAGTTCATGTATGTACCATGCAATATTTGAATCTATTTGTATGAGATATATTTAAAAAGTTACATGAAGAATTGTTTATTGCTTATCTGAAATTCTGATTTAACTGGACATCCTGTAATTTTTCTGATTACTCCTCTTTTGAGGGCAGGGATTAGGTACTTTACTGTTTATTTATCTACTTCTTTCCTCCCACATCACCATCACTCCCACACGCAGCCCCACAGCACCTAACTGTGCCTTTCAAAGACACTTAGGTACTAAATTTAATGAAAACCACCCTCTTTCAGGCTAGGCACTAGCTCCCACCAAGGCTGAGGAGGCAGACATGTAAACAGATTCATTTCACTATATTCTGATTCCCACTAGTGGCAGGGTGAATCAAGAGCTGCGGGGGTCGCAGGGAGGGAGCCCCTTGGCCTCCAGGATACAAACTGGAAAGGCTTCCCAAAGGATGTGATCCCCAAGGTGAGATTAGAAGTATGGGTAGGAATTGATTAGACCAGGCGAGGGAAGGGAATAGCATGCGTGGAGTCATATCTAAAGAAAAGGGAGGGACGCCTGAGTGGCTCAGTTCTTTGAGCCTCGGGCTCTTGATTTTGGCTCAGTTCATGATCTCACAGTTCACGGGATTGAACCCAAATTGGGCTCTGCGCTGACAGTGCGAAGCCTGCTTGGGAATCTCTCTCTCTCTCTCTGTCTCTCTCTCTCTCTCTCTCTCTGCCCCTCTCCAGTTCGTGTGTTCACATGGGCTCTCTTTCTCTTTCTGTCTCTCAAAATAAATAAACATTTTAAAAAAAGAAAAGAAAAGGGGATGGTGTGCCCAGGAACAGAGAGATAAGCTGGGTGATTGGTGCACTGGTATCTGGGATACAGTAGGCACTTGATAAACAGTGATCCAGAGATTTGCCTCAAAGGCTAAATTCGGTAGCTCTTTAGAAGTGGCCCTAGAATTAAGACCACACAAGATCCTTGTGCTCAGTACTGTGACTCTAACTGCCAGTGCTTGGGCCATTAACCTTGCAGCCTTTTCAGTCAAGCAAATGTTCTTGGAAACTAATTGCCTGTTTGCTTCAGGTTAGTTTCATGATATAGTTGGCATGTCCTACACCATGGCATGAAAGAAATCCCATAGTGAAGTCTAATATTCACTTACTGTTCTTGAACTAGTGATGGGAAAAAGACCCATGCCTACTTGGGCCTGAGGGTGAGCATTTCATCTACCTTGAGGATCTAACTGACCATGGTGACTCTCTGTGATGTGAAAAGGAGTCTGTCATTAGTCAGCCTTATTGCTGTTAACATTAACCTCATGCTTTGCTGTCCTTAGTCTTTTTTCAAATAACACTAATAGATAATATAATATGCATGGTATCTTGTATGTGTCCCTTTTCTCTACTTTTCCATCTTGCTAGGTATCCAGGAGCCTGCACTGTATGGACAGTCTCAGTGGACAACCTTACCCTCACTTTGGAGGGCAGTTGGTCAGTGAGGTGGCTCTGTCCCTGCTGAGTCACTCTAAGTTCACTGTGTCCCTCTGCAAAAGTCTACAGCTTTCATCAATCACCTTTTCCTTATAGCAGCCAGTAAGTGCTTCCTTCCCTTGGTCCTCCCCTGCCGCAGGCTTTGGGTAGTAATGGCTCCCCACTCTTGCTTGCCATAGGGTATGCATTTTTCCTGGTTGTTTTTCCTAAATACTGCCCACACCTTGATAAACAGTCATCACTTTATTAAACTCTCCTGAAGTGTACCATTTATTTCTTGATGGGATCCTGACTGATGCAGATAAAACAAGTATCACGACAATAATTTATTTGCTTATTAATTTCTATTTACAGTACTAAAGATGGAGGAAAAGCTAATTCAAGGTCATACTTCACTCTATTGTACATTTTGAACAACAGGTGACTATTATGTAGGAAAATATGTTGGTTTGGAAAATAAACTGCATTTCAACTTAGTTAATATCTCTAGGGTGTCTCAGGTGTTAAACACAAAACAAGTGAATTGTTCAAGAGAGTTGCCTTTTTTTTTCTGCAGGTGCAGATATAATGGTAAAGAACATGAGTTTTGATGTCAGGAAGATTTAGTTTTGAATCTGAGCTCTTTTAGTTACTTCCTTGTGGTTAAGGGATAAGTTGCTTCCCGTGGCCTTATCTATAATATGTGAATGATAATTCCTCCCTCACACAGTGGTTGTGACAGTTAGGTGAGATATCAGGTAGAGGACCTGAATAGACATTTTTCCAAAGAAAATATACAAATGGCCAATAGGTACATCCCTAGTCATCAGGGAAATGAAAATCAAAACCATGAAGAGATATCACCTCATACTTGTTAGGATGACTATTATTAAAAAGACAAGAGCTAACAAATTTTGGGGAGGATGTGGAGAAAAGGGAACCCTTGCACAGTATTGGTAGGAATGTAAATTGGTGCAGCCCCTCTAGAAAACAGTATGGCGGTTCCTCAGAAAATTAAAAAAATAGAACTGCCATATCATCCAGCAATCCCACTCCTGGGTATTTATCTGAAGGATATGAAAGCAGGATCTGAAAGAGAAGTATCTGCACTCCCACATTCATTGCAACATTATTCACAATAGCCAGAATGTGGAAACAACCTGCATGTCTGGCAATGGATGAATGTGGGGTTTATACAATGGAATATTATTCAGCCACGAAAAAGAAAGAAATCCTGCCACTTACAACAGTGCAGATGAATCTGGAGGGCATTATGTTAAGTGAAACAAACCACACAGAGCAAGATATATATTGTATGGTATCACTTACATGTGGAATCTTTTTAAAAAAGCCAATTTCGGGGCGCCTGGGTGGCTCAGTTGGTTAAGCATCCGACTTCGGCTCAGGTCACGATCTCACTGTCTGTGAGTTCGAGCCCCGCGTTGGGCTCTGTGCTGACTGCTCAGAGCCTGGAGCCTGTTTCGGATTCTGTGTCTCCCTCTCTCTCTCACCCTCCCTCATTCATGCTCTGTCTCTCTCTGTCTCAAAAATAAATAAACGTTAAAAAAATTTTTTTAAAAAGCCAATTTCATATAAACAGAGAGTAAAATGGTGGTTGCTGGTGTCTGGGGGAGGGGAAAATAGGAAGATGTAAGTCAAAGGATACCAAATTTCACTTATAAGATGAATAAGTTCTGAGGATCTAATGTATAGAATGGTGACTGTAAGTAAATAACACCATATTTTACACTTGAAATATCCTGACAGATCTTAAGTATCTCACCACACACACACACACACACACACACACAGAAGATAATATTTATAAAACACTTAATTTGTTGCCTGAGACATAATAGGAATATTAAAATGCCTAAGTAGGTATTTCCCCCCAAGATGCAAAAAAAACACCAATTTAAAGGGATAAGGCATCTCTGTGCTTATTACCGCATTATTTACAATATCCAAATAATGAGAGCAGCCCAAGTGTTCACTGATAGAGGAATAGATAAAGAAGATGTGGTATATATATATGTATATATATATGGTATACACACACACACACACACACACACACACACACACACACACACAATGGAATATTATTAAACCATTAAAAAAAAAGAATTCTTCCCATTTGGAACAACATGGATGGGGCTGGAGACTATAATGCTAAGTGAAAAGAGTCACTCAGAGAAAGACAAATACCATATGATTCACTCATTTATGGAGTTTTAGAAACAAATGGGCAAAGGAAAAAAAGACAGGGAGAGAGAGACAAACCAAGAATCAGACTCTTAATTATAGACAGCAAACTGATGGCTACCAGAGGGGAGATGGGTGGGGGGATGGGTGAAATAGGTGATGGGGATTAGCACCAGGTGATGCTCATGGAATTGTTGAATCACACCTGAAACTAATATTACACTGGCATTAAAATAAAAAGCTTAATAAAAAATACCTAAGTGAGGCTTACAGACATCATTTTAATTGTGTCCAGCAATAAGCCTTGGATTCTAGAACAGAAGCTTCCCATAGAACTTTCTGCAGTAATGGAACTGTTCTATATTTGCACTAATATACACCTATTGAATACTTAAAATGTGGCTAGCTGAATTTTCAATTTTATTTAATTCTAATTAAGTTGAAATGGCCACATATAGCTCATGACTACCATAGTGGACTATGGTAAACGGTAGGTCAGGAGAATAAACTTAAAAGTAACAAGTCATTTTGTAAGATCACCTGTGCCATTTGGACATGTGGTCATAAAAGCTATCAGTCGGATACAGTCAGAAGTATCAACTGTTCATGCTCCCAGAAGCTGACATGATAATAGTGTATGCTATACTCATATAAGAAAAATTTTGTACTAGAGAAAGCAGATAGATCGAAATTATATGCAAATACATAAACATGCACACACTTTAAAGGGAATATTTTGGATAAATTTATTTTAAATCAGATTACCTGGATAATTATTCCCAATTTCTCCTTCTGCTTTGGTTCACTGAATATGAATATGAATATGGATCTGGATATGAGGACTTCTCTGCTTTGCCCTTCCACAGTCCATGGTGTGCATACTTTCATAGTGGCATGCTTGTAGCACTGCCAAGCCCAGTTGGGCCTCCCAGTCCTCAACAAGACCATGTAGGAAGGTACAACCCACTGATTGGAATTGACATGTGAGACACAGCCTATTTCCCACCCTGGATTTAAAAACATTTTTTTAAGGAGTGCTTGGGTAATCTGGAAAGAGATTTGTAAATTATATACTAAAAAATAAATAGAGTTATATAATTTTAGAGCCAGAGAAGGCTCAAAACATTATCATATTTTTCTTGGACTTGCTCTATTTTTCTATACACAAATGTACCATATCTGCTGCGTGTCTTCTGATTACCACCTCCCACTCCCCCCCTCCCCCCAGATCCAGTGCCCACCCTTCTCCACCCAGGTGTGTGCCCTGGAAGGCTGACCTGTGGACTGATCACTGGGCTTCCAGTTGAAATTGGCCAGTTGGACGCACCAGCAGATCTGGCAATCAGATAAGAGTGAAATTGGGGTATTTATTCTGCTCCCTTCCTGTGAGGACAATGTGGACTGTCTGGATCCTAATACTGTGAGTCATAGCTCCTGTCACCTGTTAGGGACCCTCTCCTCACAATTCTCTTTCCTTGGAAACAGCTCTTTCTCATGGCCTCTTGAGGCCTAGGGACAGTAAAGGGAGTACTGTTTTTGCTGCCCCAGATGCTACACTATTTCTTGTTTCCCCATACCCTGGCCAGTTCTCTGAAAAGAGCCTCTTTATCATAAACTCTTCTCATATTTCACAAATTGAGTGTGCCATTATTTTCTGATGGGACTTTGATATATCTATGAAAGAGTATCTGGATGTCCTCTCTCTGGGCCTTTCTTCCTAGAGGCCATTGCTACAGGGATAATTTAGGACATTGCTTTTTTAAAGCAATTCTTTAATCTCACTGCCTTACCAGACATCAACTCAGACCCCTCTGGGGTGAGTCATTCTATTTGTGTGGGTGGGGTTTGTTAAAAAAATTTAAGAATTTTCTCAAAAGTCCAAGTGCATAGCCCCAAATAAAATAAACAACTGAAAAAAAAAAAAAAGGACTGTGCGTTTAAATGCCTTGGACAGTGACCCACAACTCAGCCCCTCCTTTCTGGGCAGGATGTGGTCAGAGTACTATACACGGCTAAGAAATTTCCCTTTGGGGCCGTTTGTTCATGCAGTTTGGTGTGGATGAAATCAATTCCAAGTAATACCTAGAAGTTGAGGTGTTATATATATAGTATTAGTTGAAGAGCTTTGGAAGAGTCAGGATAGCATATTAATTTTCTCTTCTCCCAAAGACTGTTAAAAATGGTTCTTAGTAGGACTCCTTTCCTTTATTTTGGTCATAAGCAGTAAAAGGCTGGCTTTCTATGGCATGCAGTGGCAGACAGAGACCCACCTGGACCCTTGTCTATCTGGTGTAAAGCGTGTAAAAGTGCTAAAAACTCCCTGCTCAGAAATACCTTTCTTCCCAGAAGTTCTGTCACAATTCCAAAAATTCCCATTATGAACATGTTACCTTAAGGGTATTACAGAGTGATCTGTTTTACTGGGTTAAGGCATCGTTTTATGGGATAAGGACATTGCACATCAGCTGGTTGATGTCTTGGCAGAACGAAATGTAACTATCGCCTCCTGGCATCATTTGTAGAGAGAATGGGAAGATAAGGGTCCTGGTTGGGAAGGAGGTAAACAAAGGTGTGAGGCTTACAGAATCACTCAGGAACTAGACCTGTTAGGGAGAACACAGTGGTGAGTTAGTGAGTACAGGGGCCACTGAGGTGCCTGAGTGTGCCTGGGTATGACTAACACTGTCATCAACTGTGCTGAAATGTGAAAATACGGTCCATGTAAAGTGTTTGGGTCAAAGCTTATTAATAAATAGATTTCCTTTTCTGTGCCACTCATAATGTGGCTGAAAGCTGTCCCAGGCAGGAGATTGTCAAAGGATACCTAAGGATGTGTCAGAGCTTGAAGAATTAGACCATTATGATAAATCAGGAGCCAGAATGGCAATCATCTGTCAGGCTGACTGTGATTAATTTGAATAAAAATGACATTGTTGATTACAGTGGGCTTATGAGTGTGGGCTTGGACTTGGAGGCAAGGGGAGGTGATACATGTGCCACACACTTGCTAGGCCTACCAATGGTCTTTTTCTGGTTTATTCCATAATCAATGTGATTGCTGGGTTTTGGGGGGCCTTAGACAGGCTTCAGGAATCCCTAGTACCACCTTCCTGGGGATTTCCTGTCACTGGATCAGTTTACAAAGAGTATATGCATGAAACTTTTCATTTCTTCCTATGATAAAATCTGTTATTTGGGCTAGATGCCAGATGATGGTTTGGGGATTCAGGCTGGGGTCTAACAGGCCAGGAAGAATCATCTCCAAAAGGAATAACTGGTGAGGAGCATATGTCCATATGCTTGTTTTCTCATTCCATACCTCTACACCAGGTCAGGACTGCAGGAAGCCCTAGGAGTCATCCTTGACTCCTCTCGTTCCCTCACATTCTCCATCTAATGTATCAGTAAGAGCTGACAGAATATATGCTCATATGATGCACTTCTCACCCCTACCACTGCCACTTCAGTCCATCTCTCCTCTGGTCTGATGGCATAGGTTCCTGTCTGGCTCCCTGCTTTCACTCTTGTGCTTTGCAGTCTGTCTCCTCACACATTTTTAAAAACGTAAACTGGGTTACATCATTCTTCTGCTTACCACTGTCCAACAGCTTTCCAGCACACCGGAGTATAATCAGAAGGCCTCACCATGGCCTCAGGTATCCATGTGATCTGTGGTCTGATCCCTGTGCTCTGGTTTCTCTGGCTTCATCCCCCCCCGTTCTCTTTCTCTCTCCCTCTCTTCCAGCCATCCTGGCCTACCTTCTCTTCCTCCATCTTGCCAAGCTCATTTCCATCTCTGCCCCTTTGCTGGGTATGTTCTCCCCCCAAATCTTGATGTGGCTTTCTCTCTCATTCTTTCAGGTCTCTTTCAAGTGTTACCTCCTTTCTTGACTCCTTTATCTGAAGTGACACCTCTTCCCCAGGTTACTCCCTGTTCTCTAACCTTTAGTTTTTTCTTCTTGGTGCTGCTCATTACTAGTGGATACCATGTTAAATCATTATTTATGTATAGATTTTTCTTTCCTCCTCCTTGGAATGTAAGTCTTTGAGGGCAGGATCTTGTTTATTGTCATAGTATTTAGAAGAGTATCTAGAACATAGTACGTATTCAGGAAATATTTATCAAATGGATGCATGGATTTTGAAAGTGAAGCGTCTTCACTAGGCCATGCAGTTGCATGTCAAATCATGTGGAGGATCAAGACAATGTGCAAATCCATGGCAAGGAGTGGTGCCTGAGTGGCAGGACCAGCTAACTGGTGGTCTAACTAAGGGCTTATTGGGGAGCCTCGTAGCCTCAGAGAAAGTACAGAGCTTCCAGGGAATTGTGAGTCAGTGTCAGAATCCAAGAAAATGATTGTGACAGCAGACAAGAGTTCCTAGCACGAAGACATTAACATTGAGACACTTTCTCAGATGGAAGGCTTCCTAAACACTTATGCCTAGAACAGGGACCACAGTGTAGGGCCTGAGTAGAGTCTGAAGTAGAGCTTAGTTCAGAGATGGCAAACAGGTTAATCAATCCACTGAATTCTACAGAGTCTGGGGAGAGACTCACAATCAGCTCCTAATGCACCATGGCTGCCACCTCCTTGCAGATGCTGTCCCAGAAACCAATTCTTCAAGGGAGATGTCACTGTGCTGATGATCCCCAAGAGGCCAGAGACCAATGAGTTCAGTGGCCCACTTACATCTCACATTGGGGAACTCCACTCAGCAGCAGGGGCCTCTGCACTGGCTGGGAATCCCCACTGCAGCAGCAGCCTTTGCGGGGTTGAGCTGCAAGCTACTTTTCAGATTTAGCACGCAGCCTTGTGAGGAGACACAGTTGTATTGCCTCTGACGAGAAACAAAGCCAGTGATGTTGACATATATGGAAAATGGGAAGATATCCAGAGGTTGGAAGCAAATCTCCAAGCTGGAAGTGTGGCTTGTACTGATCTTTGTGTGTCCCCATCTTCAACTGTGTTTGTAGGCTTCCAGGATCTATGTAGAAAGAAGTACCTTGCTGTGTGTTTGTAGCTCCGCCCATCATTTGAGGGTAAGTAGAAAAGAGGTTTGGCGTGGCTTTCAGAGGAAGTAAGGTGAAGATTCTTCTCTCCCAGCCTAAGTAAACCACTTAGGCCTTTCATGACTCAGAAACCACAGACCCCACAGCCAATATGCATCTATTCATTCTTGTCTACAAATATTGATTGAAAGCCTATTGTGTGACTAACACAGTACTTGGTTTGAGGATGTAATGGTAAAGTAAAATTAACTCCCTCCCCTCAAAAGTAGATAATCTCATTCTAGTGTGGAACATTTTGCAGCATGGAGGACAACGTAATCTAGTAGCAAGGAATGTAAGCTGCTGCCACTCACTAGACTGTGTGATATTGTACAAGTCACTTCCTTTCTCTGCATTTTAATTTTCTCATGTATATTTCCAGGACATTACCCATGTTAGGGGATTTAATAAAATAATGCCTATCAAGTGTTTAGCCTATGTGTCAGTAAATGTAAGCTATGATTCTGGTTATGATTTTATGGTAAGAGTTGGTAGACAATGCTGTGGGGGTACATTTATATATCAAAATACCGTATTTCTAGACAAGTGTATTTATATTCAAGGCTAGGCCCATAAAAAAACTTGAGTAATTGGAGATTACATTTTTTTTCCTTTCCTGTCCAAGACCCTCTCTATCCAAATCTATCTTCTTTCCCCTTTCTGGAAGCCCTGAGTGCCCTGGATCTTTCTCTGATTTTCTCTGTTGATGCTTCTCTCAGTGGATTGGTAGATTGGAATGAATCCAAGCAAGATATGTATGTCACATTGTCACTGATTTAGAGCATTGCCCTTCCTGGAGGTGTTCTCATCTCACCCAAAGAATGGCATCATTTCAGGTTATCAGTAAAACTGCCTTTTCTGAAAGTAATGAAGGAGCTTGGTATCTGTACAGGAGGAGAGCAGATCTCTTCCTGTACAAAAATGGAATGGTCTCAACAGTAGACTCCACACATGGGTTTGGTTCACAACAGAGACAGCAATATAAACCTACAGAGAGGGGAAGAATTATTCTTCAAGTGTTGGGATAATTGGTGGAGAGGAAATCCCTACCTCAGTGTTTAGACACAAGTAAATTCCACATAGAATTAAGATGTACATATGAAAGGGAAATTTTATAACTTTTAGGAGAAAACATAGGGGACTTTTAAACACAGGGGCTTATGTCTCAAAAGGCATACACCAAAAGGAAAAGTTTTAAAATATTATATTGAAATATAATTCTGTACCAACAAAGACACAATAAACAAAGTATAAGCTTCAGACTTAGAAAAGATATTATAATGCCTATAACCAACCAAGAATTCTTAATAAAAATTTATTTTAAAAAATTCCTATGGATCAATAAGAAAAGATAATCAAAGAAAAGTGGG